AATCGTAATTATATTACTGATAAAGCGTTTATAATTTGCATATACGGTATTAACTGCATAACACAGGAATCGATTGTAGGAAAGATAAAAAGTGCAAAAAGTTTAGTTAACATTACTGCAAGTGTAAGCATTAAAATTGTTCTTTACTTAAGAGGCTTTAAATCATTCTCAAATAATACGAAATAAAATAAATTTATAAATTGAGCGATTAGAAATTGAAATTGTTTCAATTAAACAAAGATGAGAAATTTGAATAACAACAATTGTCGACGAGTTCTCCCACAATTTGCGCTACTTAAACATATCAGATCAGAAAAAATAAAAAACTAGACCAATATAGAGCAATATGAAATATATTCCAAAAATTTTGAAGTAAAATCTATTCCCAACAATGCAATCAATTAACACTCATTGTTAATTAATTGTAGGTTGGCTAATTAGTAGAAATTGTGTCGTGTAAAAACTCACATTATTATTTTCCCAAATGATATATGCAACGGTTCTCATTATCAAGTTGATATTTTAACAGATGGAGATAATACATACAAATCGATCTCATTTAATTCAATTAATTATGATAAGGAATTAAAACAGAACCAAACTGTGAGCAAAAAATTGCAACAAAAAAGACAGTATCTTCAAGATAAATGCCATAGTAAAAAGAGGTGTGAAAAGTCATTTCTTAGAAGATTTTTATCGTTTTTGGCGCTTTCTGACATCATTTGAATATCTACGCGGAAAAAATGATTCATGACAATTGGAAAAAGATGAAAGAATGACTAAAATTAGTAAAAGTTAACTTTAGTTTTCCTCTTTTGCCATTTAAAATATCCTCAAAATAAATATTCGAAATTGAAATTGAAAAGAAAGAATGTGAAATCCCAGTAAAGTATGTGATAGAGACAGAAAGAAAAACAAGACAGAAAAGTTCGTCTTTTAAAAGATTTCAAATATTCTATTTGCTTAAAAATAATGACTTCATTTGGCACGAACTAATGAATTTCAATCATTTTGGTGCATATTTCGATCATCTAATGGGAAAAATTAGCGAAAGGAAGTTTCGTTATATATTTTTTTACGGTAGCAAAACAAAACAATTCTTTGAGCTTTTTTATTTTTGCATAACAAATTGGTGTCTTCCAACAAATGAAATATGAAAATCTTTGAAAGAACTTTTACGAATTCTTGTCTCTTTCTTTTTTCTGTCGCCATTTGATAACTGTCATTGGAATTCTTCCAAAATATATCCATTCTTTCAAATTAATTATCGAATATTTTGGAAATAGAAAAAATGATTCACATTTAAAAAAAATAGCGAATTATATAAATTTATTACAATAAAAATTGCAAAAAAAACGGAATATAGACGATTATAATCATAATTTACATCCTCATACTGTCATTGATATGACATCAGTTTGAAACTGATAATATGTCTTCTTGATAAATTTTCGACCCATTGCTATGCTCAGAGCGAAGAGTATTGTGGCTTTACGTTAGGAAGAGTTTTCAAACTATCCAAATTATCTTTCCGTAACATATATGCAACTGCATATAGCTTGCATTTCGCATGCAAAACAGCAATTCAATCAATGATGTGCCATAAATAAATCATTCATCAATGCAAACGTATAATTTTAACAGTACATTTCTCAACGCTACAAGGGACTATTGTCACATAGAGGTGAAGTAATCCTAAACTATTAAATATTCTTAAAAATTAATTGTTAAAAAATTAGTAATTCTGTGGAATAATTGTTAGTTGTCAACTCAAATTACGTCTCAAGCTTGCAAGTTTAACGTTTTGTTATTTTCCATGCGCCTTACAGAAGGATTAAGGAGAAAATACAAAGTTTTCTTCCCAGAAGGAAAAGAATTAACAATTACAATTCAGTTTTTAATAATTCATCATTAAATAAGTAAATTGGCTATTACCAATTATTTTGATATTCAAATTTTGTACACTTTTATATCCTTTCGATGCAATTTGATATTGCTTATATTGTTTACCCAATAAACAATAAATACAGCAATAAAATAATGTATATTCTGCTATTTCAGATGAAAAAACGTGCTTGAAATTTTGCTAAATTCGCGAAGCTAACGGTAAGTCATGAAGCATCGCTCCATGTGTGTTTTCAAGATGTACTTTCGGGTGAAGGATTTGTTACAGTTTCCGCATTGATATTTAGATGATGTTTTCTTTTCCTGTGATTGGCTAATGATCCACTATAATTGTACTTTTTTCCACAATTCGGTTCTTTACATTCGTAAATAAATGGTTTGCCGCGCGTTTTCTTGTGTTCTGTATCTTTTTGACTGTTCGTGTGAAAAGTACATCTGGGATAAGAATACTCACGAATTCCCTTTTCTGAAAAACTCTTATAATATCGAGCGATTACGAAGGATCGGATGAACAAATCGATTTTTGATAATTAATTTTAAAACAATAACCAGTTCTGCTAATAATTACTGTTGCTATAATATATGGGATAGTAAGGAGAATGAAAACAAAACAGATCAGAAAGCCAATGTCAAAATGAGACTATAAATTGGCATCCGTTATGACAATAGCACTAAAGATACTTCTGATGCCTTTGCACCCTTTTTGCATTTCTCAAAGTATGCCAGAATTGCGGATGTGCCGCAATTAGGTCTAGAACGAATATTTTCTAAATGCTGCCTCACTGCGCTAAAAGAAATGAACACTTTGCCGCAGTTTAGCTTCCTTTATTTATTGAATTTTGCATTGCTACCCTATGGTCGTGCATGTTCCGCAGCACATTTTCATCTGTGTTCTACTATTGCAAATGAAAAAAACGTGCTTGAAATTTTGCTAAATTTGCAAAACTAACGTGAATTTCCGAAGCATCCTTTCTGGTGTCTTTTCAAGTGGTCCTTGCGGTTGAAGCATTTGTTACAGTTTTCGCATTGAGATTTAGATTGATGTGGTTGATGATTTCTCTTCCTGTGAGAGTAAAATGATGTGCTATGATTGTACTGTTTTCCACAATTGGGTTCTTTACATTCGTAAATAAATGGTTTGCCGTGCTTTTTCCTGTGTTCTCTATATTCTTTGCGATTGTTCGTGTGAAAAGTACATCTGCGATAAGAACACTCACGAATTTCGTTTTCTGAAAAACTCTTATAATATCGGGCGATCATGAAGAATAGAATAAACAGTATGATTTTTGATAGGAATTAATTTAAAAAAGTAGCCGTACTTTTTTTCTGCCACTAATTACTCTTATGATATATGGGATCGTAAGGAGAATGAAAACAAAACAGATCAGAAAGCCAATGTCAAAATGAGACTATAAATTGGCATCTGTTTTGATGGCAGCACTGAAGATGCCGCGCAATTTCTGATACTTACACACCTTTTCGTGCATTGTATATGCCCGAATTGTGGATGTGTTGCAGTTAGGTCTACAACGAATATTTTCTAAATGCTGCCTCACTGCGCCAAAAGAAATGGACACTTTGCCGCAGTTTGGCTTCGTTTTCTGCATTGCAATATTTATTGAATTTTGCATTGCTCCTCCATGGTCGCGGATGTTGTGCAGCACATTTTTAGGTGCATTCTGCTATTCCAGATAGAAAAACGTGCTTGAAATTTTGCTAAATTTGCGAAACTAATAAGAAGTTCTAGAGTGTAGCTCCTCGTGACTTTTCATGTTGTGCTTAAAGGTGAAGAATCTCTTACGGCTTTCACATTGATGTTTAGTTTGATGTGTTTCATTGTGAGAGGTAAACGATGAATGATTGAAAGTTCGTCCACAATCGGATCGTTTGTGTTTGTAAGTGAATGGTTCGTCGTGCGTTTTCTTGCGTTTTCTATATTCACCGCGATTCTCAGAGCTCGCATTGCATCCGATATGAGGACATTCACGATTTTGTTCTGAAAAAACTCCTTCTCATAATATTTGTATTTGTAATTAGCACTCCATTACTGTAGTTGCTAAATAATTAATGTAATTTGAAAACTGATCCTGGTAATGCACAAAATAAGCTTATCACATCACATTTCACTTGAATTACTAGAAAATGTTCACTTTCTTTTTCTAGAAAATGTTCATATATTAGGGACAAAAAATTTTCCTTAATGGACGGATATCGTAGATCAAATAACTGCGAATTTTCTGCTGTAACGAAATCAGTTTCGTCCTTAATTTTTTGCAATCTCATTTTCACGCGATTTTTTGAACTGTAAGGGTTGGAAGAAAAAGCGATTGCCTAATACCTTACCATTTATTCCAGGTGATTCTCCACCAATACTGCTTGTACTGGTATCTGAATTAAATGGTGATAAACTGCAGATGAGTTCAGGGAAGAGATCTTTGTCAACGTTTATTCCCAACAATTCTCGATCAGTATTTTCCCGTTCGATATTATAAGCGAAGCCGTCGGTGACTTCCTGGGATTGTTCATCATTTGTTATTATCGTCACTTGTTCCCGGTCGCTCTTGTATGTATCGTCATTATGGTCAGGCACTGTCTCCAAATTGTTGTCGACGATATCAGATGCATGGTAAAGGTTCAGACTGACACCTGGGTTATAGCCAGGATAATGATATACGGGGGGATTAAGTGGAGAGAAAGTTTTATTATAAGCCAAAGTGATGCAAACCAGAAGACTGAACCCAATGATTTGTGTTATCGACATGATGAGGAACAAAGTAAAATACAAAATTTTAAAATGGTAGAAATGTTTGAATAGAAGCCTTTTTATATCACATTGAACTGAATTAAACGACCAAAGGTTCAAATAGCTTTTGATCTGTGCGATTCGCAATGTTTCTTATATTTTTTTTCTCTTACATTCAAATTTCCTATCTCTAACTCGATGGTTGATGAATATGCTTTTAATCCCCGACGAAAACCTCATGAAAAGGGTTGCAGATAAATTGAAATACAAAAAGACAATGTTATAACATGTAAAAAAATTGCGAAATAATCAGAGCATTACTGTAAATTTTGCAAAATTCATCACAAAAAAAAAGAAAAGACTGTTTTTATCTACGACATACAAATTGTTTGGAGCAAAGATTATTCGGATTTAAAAACGAATTCATTGGATATTTGCTTTGCTTCCTACAAA